CGAAGATGTGCCCGTTTTTAATAGAATTTCTTTCTCTACCTCGGGAACGAGGGCAGGTGTGAAGTCGGCCATAAAATCTGCTAGAATTTGGGACTTGATAGCCGTTCGGGGCTGGTATTTGATATCGTACCCCCGAGTTCGATCGCGCATTTGGCCAAACGGCCTGACAATTCGGGCTTATGCAATATGCTTTGGAGAGGATATGTTGTTAAAACACAAATACGATGGCATTGGAAATAAGGCTTTAATTTTCGAGATGCGCTTGTTAATGCAAGAGCTTACTTTTCTAGGTGCGGATACCTGGTTTCGGCATCTCCTAGGGTCCGACTTACATAATAGACAGGGAATTGCGTACCTTGCTCTTCTCGAACCGACACACCACTTATCGCTACCTCGAACACAGCCGGGTATAAATACAGCGTTACATCTTCCTTTGGGGTGTGAAGCAAAGGTGGGTCCGTTAGATATCGTTTCAACTCCTCTAAAGCACGCTGGCATTCCGGAGTCTATTCGAAGCTGTTCTTCCTTTTGAGTAGGGAGAAGAAATGATGACTCCTGTCTGACGACCTTGATATGAATCGGCCCAAAGCTGCTATTTGCCCAGTCAGCCGTTGCACGGCCTTCACATTGTTTACCACTGTGATCTCTTCTATGGCTTTGATTTTATCGGGGTTGATCTCTATCCCCCTGTTTGACACCATGAAGCCTAAGAATTTGCCCGTACCCACTCCGAAGGCACATTTCTCGGGATTGAGTTTCATGTTGTAGCTTCTGAGGATGTCCAATGTCTCCTGCAAATGAGTTAAATGGTCCTCTGCGTGCAGGGACTTAACTAGCATATCGTCAATGTAAACTTCCATGGAATTGCCTATTTGGTTTTCGAACATCTTATTAACTAGGCACTGGTACGTGGCCCCCGCATTTTTTAGCCCGAAGGGCATCACATTGTAGCAGTACATACCGTACTTCGTGATGAACGAAGTTTTTTCCCGATCCTCGGGTTCATCTGAATTTGATTATACCCCGAGTAGGCATCGAGAAAGATGAGGATCTCATGGCCGGCCGTGGCATCGATCAAGCGATCGATGTTGGGAAACAGGAATGAATCTTTGGGGTACGCTCTATTCAAGTCTTTATAATCTACGGACATTCTTAACTTATTCCCTTTTTTGGGAACTACCACCACATTGGCCAACCATTCGGGATATTTTACTTCCCTAATAGATCCTATTTTGAGGAGTTTTGTTTACCTCATCCTTGATGAACGCGTGTTTTACCTCGGACTGAGGTCTTCTTTTTGCTTCACTGGTTTGAACATGGGGTCGACACTTAGTTGATGGGTGGTTATTTCCGGCGGGATCCCTTTCATATCTAAATGGGACCACGCAAAGCAATCGATGTTATTAATAAGTAATTGAATGAATTTTTTCCTGCATTTGAGGGTTAATCCCATTCCCAGGTATACCTTCCGATCTGGGAGATGCTCGACCAAAACGGCCTGCTCCAGCTCTTCAACTGTTGATTTTTTTGCATCCGATTCATTGGGGGCAATGAAGGTTCGGGGGCGAGGAAGTCTTCTTCGTCGTTCTCGGGGGTCTGTTTGTCCTCCGGCTCCTCCGAGGTGGAGGGCATTGAGGTTGGTGCCTCCTCATGAACTGCAAACATCTCCTTCGTCGCATGTTGTTCTCCATATACCGTTTTTATACTGTCTTCTGTCGAAAAACTTTATCTTCTGATGAAGAGTTGACGGTACTGCCCTCATGATGTGTATCCATGGCCTTCCAAGCAATGCATTGTATCTCATGTCACCTTCGATGACATGAAATTTTGTGTTTCGAACTGTGTCGGACACGTTGACCGGGAGGGTGATCTCCCCCTCCATTGTTTCGCCGGCCATGTTGAAGCCGTTGAGGACTTGGGAGGTAGGTATGATTTGATCGAGCAATTCGAGCTACTCTACCTCCTTCGACCTGATTACGTTGGCCGAGCTACCTGGAAATTTTAAAGTTATTCAAGAGAAATGAAATTACCAGCGCGTCGTTATGGGGATGAGACAGGTTCTCGAAGTCCTCTTCACTAAAGGCAAGGATGTCCTCGGGCATGCGGCCCCGAATTTGCCCTTCCATTGCGGCGGAAACCTTTGCCCGCTTGATCACGGGTCCTTGGGGGACGTCGGTCCCTCCGATGATCAGATGAACGACGTGCAGGGGTTTTTTCATTCCGTTTCCCCCGTCCGCCTCTCCTTCTTCCCGGGCTGGATTTTTCCGAGCTTCCTGTTGGTTCTCTTGGCGTATACTCCTGTTAGTATGGGAGCTTATATTGACATGTTGGTTGTTGCGTGAGACCACATCCACGGGAATTGGTTCTGGTGCATCCTCAGGGCTTCGTGCAGGTACACCGATATGTGGAACGGCTACACCAGTCTCTCCATGGTCCTCAGGACCGTTGTTTTCATGTTCATTCACTGAGCTAGACATTTTGACCTGAAATCTAAGATTCTTGGACAAGAAAAAGTGTGAAGGATAACTTGCATTATTTAGTAACCAGCAAGAAAACAATCACTATTATTTTTAGCCCCGCGGTGGGCGCCAAACTGTTTACCTTGAAAATGGTAATTACAATTAGATTTGATTTTGTGGTTCAAAAAATACGTGATTTGTTTTTATGCTAATTGCTAGGAAATAGATACTAAGTATGAGACTAGAAAATAAGGTAAGATCTTGAAGATAGAACGTTATGCAAACCGAGTAGCCGAGAATCGGGGCCTCGAGCTAGCCTGTACTGGGCCTCGAGGTCGAGCTAAAGCATTAGGCTGTGGATAGCCGATGAAGGACTAACAATTCTAAGAGCTTTGATGGGGGATCTTTATGATCAATGATGAGTAATAAATGAAGACAAATCAATGAAATGCAGTAAACGTAGGCAACGTAGTAAATATAAGCAATAAAATCAGGGGAGAATATGTTTAAGTTAGAGAGCAGAGAATGTTCTTGTTCTTGTATTGAATATCATGTGTCCAAGAAATATAAGGGTCCCCTTTATATAGGAGGGGGGAATCTCAACATGGTACATGTGTAATTATTACAAAGAAATGTAGCCGGTACAACCACCTAACAGTCTGGTACAGACTGGTACTATTCTTGCAGGTGCTGTCAGTTTTGACCGCGTACCTAGGGAACCTCTTGCTTATTCCTGATGACCATCGATTTATGATGCCCCGTGGTCGGGCATAAAGAACCCTCGATGTCATGGCCTTGAGCCGTATCATGGGCCTTCAAGGTGAAGCTACGAGGTGTCACAATGACCGTAAGATCAGGCTTTTCGATTTTATCCGTATACAAAAGTCATAACCAACATTATCATATACACCAAACACTAGTCTGCAAGCCTCTAAGAGTGCCAAAAATATATAACTTGGTCATGACAAGTCCCCACCATACCCAAAATGATTGAAACATATACTTTCAGTACCTATCGACTTCTGAACTCCTAATCTGGAGAAGTGGAGTGCGACAACAAACATCTGAAGCGATCAACCTACTGGGGAGGGATATCACTGGGTCTAATTGTACTTGTGGGAATGAACACAACAACCAGAACAAAGGGGCATCTGTATCGAAAGATGTACTAATTATGTAAGACTATTAAGATGTGTAAATCAAAGACATAACATAAGAGATATGAATATATTGTTTCAACCTAGATATCGAAGATAAGGCACTGGGGGCATACACTACAGAAATCATAAATCTTAAATGTATCCAAGTTTGTTAAAAAGTTAACCATTTATTGGGGCTATACATTAAATACATAATATAATATCATTCAGCCGCTCTTTGGGACATATCATATCATATCGTACCCGGCCTCGAAGAGGACTCAATAAGGTCTTATATCGTTACCACATCATACCCGGCCTCAAGAGATCTCTGTTGTACCTGGTCTCAACAGAATTCGACATACCCAATCTCAGAAGGACTCGGTCGTACCCGAACACATAGGGCTCGATAAATATTTTGCATCATAGAGGACTCGGTCATACCCAGCCTCAGCAGGTCTCGACTATACCCGGCCTCAATAGGACTTAGCGTAGTCAGCCTTAAGAGGACTCGGTAACCTCACATTTTACATCATGTCTCATCATACCCAACAGATAAGTGGTTATTCAATAGGTGTGGTACCCGGCTGACTATAGCGCGACTATATATATATATATATATATTGTGCAATGCAAGGTCAATTACAAGAGATACTAAGATTAAACTCAGAATGAATCATATTCTCTAACCTAAGGGTACTATCTAGGAACACCTCAGACTTGAAATAAATGTTACCAACAAGAATGTATTGGAACAGAAATAACGTTATTAAGAAGGGCTTAGAACCAACTAATTTTTCAACATAGAAATCCTTTAGGGAGAGGCACTTACACCAAATCATGCCAGGAAAGAAAGTTATCTTACATACCTTATTGAAGAGCTAGCTACGCTTCCTGAGTTCCTACGCTTTTGTGATGATTAATTCCGCCCCTAATGAATCTCCAAATAAATCAGTATAAAAAGATAGCATATATTATAGTGACGATCTCAAGTTCTTCACGATAAATCCTGTTGGGTTCACTTCTGATTTTTCCTTAGATTATTCAGGAATTCTCAAGGGGGTTTAAGAGCATTTTGGAAGAACTAAAGTTGGTGATATACCATAGAATGAAAACAAAGAGAGCTTCACTGCCTTTTTATGCCAAGTGTAGGAAATTCTGCCGCCCATATGCCAAATGAGTCGCCCCGCACCAGCCACTGCGCCCGGTGGGATAGCTGGGGCATTTTGGTTAAATATAACCACCTATTTGTCCTTATAACGTGTCGCATGCTGATTAGTTGTGTCAAAACCTTATTATTCTTCAACTTCACATGTGGGGAACAGTGTCGGGCGTAACATTTCCCTCCTTTTAGAATATTCATCCTCGAATGTTGAATCGTAGTCACTCCTTGCAAACTTCTCTAGTCATTTTGTGTTGTGCCCATTATAGTAGTCTCATTGTTGTCTCCTGTAGTATGGAACAAATGGGGGTACTTGGATTTCATATCTTCTTCAGCTTCCCAGGTCATTACTCCTATATTATTGTTCCTCCAAAGTACTTTAACTGAAGATACCTCTTTGGTTTGAAGCTTACGAACTTGACGATCTAGGATAGCCACCAGAATTTCTTCGTAAGATAGGTTCTTTGTGACTTGAATATCTTTAATAGGGGTACTACGGGAAGGATTACTCAAGAACTTTCGAAGCAAAGACACATGGAATACCGGATGCAATACATCTGATTCCAGGGGAAACTTAAGCTTATAAGCCACTTGACCTACCTTCTGAATAATTCGATATGGTCTGATATACCGGGGGCTAAGTTTGCCTTTCTTTCTGAACCTCATCACGCCTTTCATAGGCAACACCCTCAAGAATACCCTGTCTCCTACAACAAATTCCAAATCTCATCATCAGTTATCCGAGTAAAATATTTGCCTTCTTTGAGTAGTCAATAATCTACCTCGAATCATTTTCACCTTTTCTACACCCCGTTGCATCAACTTAGGACCCATTAACTTTGTTTCACCAACTTTGAACCAGCCGATAGGAGACATACACTTCCATCCATATAGGGCCTCATATGGTGCAATCTGAATTCCAGCATGGTAGGTGTTGTTGTAAGCAAATTCGATGAGTGGTAGAGGATCCTCCCAATTTCCTTTGAAGTCCAAAACATAGGCTCGTAACATATCCTCGAGTTTCTGAATAGAACGTTCGTCCTGACCTTCTTGGGGGATTAAAAGTTGTGCTAAGGTTGATCCTGGTACCCAATCCTTTTTGAAATGATCTCCAGAAGGTAGCTATAAATTGGGCACCTCTATCTGATATGATATAAATTGTAACTCCATTAAGTGAAACTATTTCCTTTATATATAACTTAGCATAATATTCAGTCAAGAAGGTAGTTTTAACATGTAGGAAATGAGATGACTTGGTGAGTCGATCCACAATAACCCATATGGAATCAAATCTTCGGCATTATCATGGTAACTCGGTAACGAAATCAATGATGATCATCTCGCATTTCTAGGTTAGAATTTCCATATTCTGAAGCAGAACACCTAGTTTCTGGTATTCAACCTTATCTTGTTGGAATTTTGGATACTAAGCAACGTATTCAGCAACGTTCCTCTTTATATCATTCCACCGGTATAGCTGATCGGGTCCAAGCCTACACTACTATTGAGTAGAGAGGATGGTCGAAGCAGTTTTAATGCAACTAGGTTGGGATCGAGTCCACAGGGAGTTAATAATTGGAATTAGGTGTATATCCTCGTGCAAATGCGGGCTTTGAATCTAATTACACTTCCACAAATGTTTGGTTTGGTTTCTACTTCTACTTCTATTCTATTGCATGCAATATTTGAAACTAAGTACAATACTTTGTTATTGATTTTCAAGGGTTTAAAGGGACTAAGGTAGTGACTTCCACCTAGGTGGATATCTAACGGGTGGTAGAGTCTAGGGCAATCATGTGATTAATTGGGGTCGTAATATAGCTATCACACCCAGGTACTCACTCTATACCTCTCGGTAGTTTGAGTGATTTTGCCCAATTTGGCCTTCTCAAGTCCAAATGGGCATGCAATACAAGTGATATTAGCTCAAGTCGGGTATTACTATCTCTAGGTTTAACCCTTTAATTGGTGCTATCAATTTCTGAAGTTCACCCCAATTCGTTGTTAGCCTAGCTTTCATAGACGTAGTCCCTCTTTCTCAAGTAGAGACTAAGTCATAAAGGCAAGAATCAGTGTTTGCAACCACTAATTCTAAAGTTCTAGCAAGAACTAGGCTAAATATCACTAACCCATACACATTCAAGCCCTAAAATGCAATACCTATCAAATACCCACATTAGGGTTGGGTCACAACCCTTGGGTTTAGCTACTCATGGAAACAACATAAATCAAAGATGAAACAAAGACAAAATTCTTAATACTAGATTAAAAGATGAAAATCTAATGTTGAGAGATAATTCTAGTACAAAATTGCCCAAAACAAAATTTCTAGCCGTCTCACGTGCTCAGCTAAAACATAACTTAACCTAAAAATGTCAAAAAGATCTATTTATACTAAGCTGAAATTTCCAGACAAAAATACCCCTGCGGAGGTTTCGCGGCCGCGTAATTCTTACTGCGGCCGCATTCTTGCTTTTGCGGCTGCTTAATACTGATTGCAGCCCGCATTTTTAACTTCTGGATCGGGGTTGAGGTTTGTTTTGCGGGCCGCATAATTTCCATCGCGGCCGCATAATTCTAACGCGGACCGCACTTCTTGTTTTTGATTGAAATGTGAATTCTCTGAACCTTAGCAACCGCGGTTTGCATAATTCCAATTGCGGCCGCGGTGAGACTTTCCGGCCACACATTTCTGGCGCGGACCTCGCTTAACATTTTGCTTAAAAATGCACTCTCTGAATCTCCCTTTCGCGGACCGCATATTTGTGATCGCGGACGCGTTGTGGCTTCCGCGGCCGCACAATATTTGTGCGGTCCGTGTTTCAGGTCTCTTGTCCCAATCTTGGTTTTTGTACCAATTTTGACTCCCTTATGAGTTGATTATGCCTCCTTTGGCTCATTTTGATCAATTCCTGCAAGCAAGCATTTTACATTAGTTTCTGGGAACTTTACGCATTTTTGGCCTAAAACGCAAGTAAAAGAGAGCAAATCAAAGGTTAAAATCCCTACTTATCAACTCCCCCAAACTTAAGTGTTTGCTTGTCCTCAAGCAAATAAGGTATTTCTCACCTCCACTAAAACAAAACAGAAGGATATTTCAGTTGCCCTAATGTGAATCAATCATGCATCAATTGGGACTAACAATTATCCTCAACACAAATGAATTATCAACAACACAAAACCTTTTTAGTAACATAGTTCTAATGCGACACTAGAGCATCAAGAGTTGACTTAATTCATCAAGGAAGCTCACTCTATTGCGTATGTCGTTGCGGAACCCAAACTCTTCCTCCTCTTCTCCCCATAAGCAAATCTCACTTTATATTGTAGCACTCAAAACAAGGATTGTGAAGAAGTACGCTCATCTCTCTCAAGGGAATGTCGCAATTCCGGCTCTAAGTACCATAAGCTTGCCCCTTATGTAAATCACCACTAATATAAGTCACTCAACTCGAAATCATATAGGGCTTTTCCGGGAGTGTAATGAAGGCTTTTGGATCAAGGTAGGACTTATTGGCATATGATGGCTTCATCTTTCCTTAAGCACTCCATTTTCTCATTTCGGCTCATACTTTCTTGACTCTTTGAGTCATTTTTTTCTTACTTAGGGGAACTAGAGAGACACACTGTCACTCATTAATGCACATGACGATCATTTTTCTCCTTTTCTAATCATTCCATGCCTTTCATCATTGGTAGGCTACGGAAGATTTTAAGCTTCAAATTGGATCAAGGAGAGCCTACAATCATTTCTCAAGTCGGGCTACACTTAGAATTTCGCCTAGACAAACATTCAGGGCAAGTTCTAGACTTATTGGCACGGAACTTGGACTTGCAATTCAATACCTCACCTCACAAGCTGTTGGATTGTTAAAGAGAACAGAGTCGAGGGCCCACAACAACCCTAGCTAAGATTGAACATCACAAATGGCTCAAAGAAACCACTCGATGATTGTTTTAGTCAACATAAGAGTCTAAAGGTCACTACAGAACTATTCTTTGCCAATCAACTTGTTTCTAACCATAAGGTCGAAGGTAAATGTGTTAGTACCAAGTGAAACCTGCTTGAGATACTTTTATTCATTACTACTATTTACACCAAAACATAAATAAAACGGACTCAATCCCTTAAGAAGGTTATCACGCTATCCATTGTGGGAAGAGCCAGCCGGTTCACACAACATCCATCTTTGGAAAGAACTGTGGCATTAAGAAAACCAAAGGCTTATTGTTCATATAAAACGTAAAGAGAAGCTAACAAATTAAAATGAAACTACTAAAGGAAATAAGAAGCTATGAAGTAAAATTATGAAAGAAGTTATGAAGTAAACTACGGAAATAAAACTGGATATATTTATACATCAATGAAAATGAATATATACATCAAATGGTAAAACTATATACATACCGCATGTGAAAGTAACGAATATATACATACCAAAAGTAAAAATAACGAATATATACATACCAAAAGTGAAAATAAAGAGAAGTAAAGATAAAGAAAAATATCATAGTTATCACATGCTAATGTCATCATATCATCACCAAATCAAAATAGATAACCACCCCACCCCCAAATAAAAGATAGCATTGTCATCAATGCTAATATCAAAATAAGATCAGGGAAAGGATTAGAGAGTAAAGAAAACTCCCTATGTGGTCTCTGTCTGCGTCGGGTTAGGCACATGAGAGGGGTCCTCGGACTGCATAGGCTCATCAGCTCCCTCCGGGTCCTCGGACTAGATCTCAAAATCCTCTGACTGGGGGACCATGGGGTTGCGGAGCATCTGGATCATCTCTTCAGCAATATGTGTAGTGGCAACCGGCTCCTCAGACTAGCTAGTTGCTGTAGCCTCATGCTCTGCTGCCTGTGCTGCTGGGGCTTGCTCCTCCAAGAGTAATGGGATGTCTCCGGCAGATGTATACTTTTCTACCTCCTTCTTCAACAGCTCCACTGAATTCTTTGAGGCCTGAGTTTTCTTCAACTTCTTCACTTGCTTGCCCAGATCCTTGATAACCTTTCCATGTGTATCCAGAGTCTCCAGGATCTTCTTCTGGTTGTCCAGGAGCTTCTTCTGGTTGTCCCGAAGCTCCTTCAATTTGTCCTCCACTGATGGAGGTACCTGAAGTTGTGTTGGGGATGACTATGCTGCTACAACATTAGATAAGACAGACAACTTTGATGTATTTCCTGCATCCAGTTGTTGATGCTCGATAATGTCTAAGAAACCCGCAGTGCAGTCTGAGGGTAAGTGGAAAATGAGACAGATTATGGCACGGTGATGGATGGTCTGGATGAAGGAGGAGGCATGGCAGCTGAAGATCCCCCTGCTGTGGAAGGCTCTGACCCGGTGGCCACTACCCTTGGCTCTTTAGACTAGCCAGTGGAGGTAGCAGCTTTACCCTTTTCTTTAGGGTTGTCTGGTCCTTGGAGGCTATACCAGGAGAAAGGCTTTTTTGGCTTCACCTTTGTGTCATAGTGCTTCTTCTTGACCCCTTGGTCCTCGAGATACATAGTGATGAATTTGGGGTAGGGATAAGATCTTTCTTCTTATCCAACTGCCTTGGAGATGTGGTAATACATGAGGTTCCCCACATTGATTGGATACCCCGCCATGATGGAAGCTATCAAGATCGCCCGGGAGAGTGGGAGGACATTATCATGCAGGCACGGGTCCAGCCGGCTGCACACAAATATGGACCACCCTTTGGCTTCAAAGCTGAGGGTGTTTCTGGCTATTGGGACTCCAGTTGTGAGCCATGCCGGTGTCGTCCCTGGAATGGCTAATATCTCTGCTAGCCATGGACGGCCTGCTTCATCTAGGGCAAGCTTCTCTAAGTATTGCACGGCTTCCACATCCTCAAAACCGGCATAGTTGTTCAAAGTGTGGCCATCAAATCGAACCTTCAAGTTCCGGACCTTTGTCACAGTGGTGCCCTTTTTTATGTGGGCAACATTTGCATAGAACTCTTTGAAAAGGTACTCATTTGCATCCATCACTTTGCAAGTA